TGTGGGTGGATCAGGCAGGGCCAGGCCAAGGATGGTTCGAGGTGGACCTTGCCGGTTGAGCAATGTGAGCTCAATGTGAGCATCACAGCCTGTGGAGGAAGTGGTTGGCCTGAGGGCTGAGACAATAAATGAGAAGTACAGCAGGCTGTCAGATAGGCAGCAAAGGACCCAGCCAGCGCCACTCCTCTGGACTCCTTGCTTGGGCTTGGGGAAGCCTTGCTGCTTGGGCTTCCCCACAGAGGGATCCCCGGGAGCTACTTGGCTGCCATTAGTTATTTAGCAGAATTGCTGATTGGAGGGACCTTGGGAGTGACACAGCTGGGACAGGCACCGAGCACTCTGCACTTCCCGTGACCTGACCTGCAGAGGTGTTGTTGGCTGGGCGCCAAGTCCAGGGTGCGTGGATAGGAGCCAAAGGGAAGGCAAACATGAGCTGAGAGCAGAAGCTGTCTGTGTGCGGTGGTGTTTCAGGGAGGTCAATGTCAGATTGGTATCAAAGAGAACATTAATGACAGTGGCCATGAAACACGAGAGTGATGCCTCATGGGAAATGTGGCTCCTACATGACTGGTGAAGCTGCAGTGGGGGTGGGGTGGGGTTGTGCTTTGGGCTACCCTGGAGAGCGTCACTTTCCAGGCCCTTTCCCACGGACAGTCTCTTCCAGTCCCTCCCCAGGGCTGAGGGATGAGCAACACGTGGCCTTTGTGGCCTTTGTTGAGCTGCTGAAGGATCTGGATGGTGGAGACTGGTGGGAGCAGAATCCTAGAGGCAGAGAGCTGAGGCCAGGTGTACCAAGGTGGCCAGAGACATTTGAAGGCCAAGGTCAAGGGCAGAGAAAGCCAGAAGAGGACCCGTATGGGAGAATGACTAGGACAAAGGTTGTCCCGAGCCTGAGCAGCTGCCCTTGACCTCTTACAAGAGATTTTTTTTTTTTTTTCCTCTGAGACAAGGTCTCGCTATGAAGTTTGGGCTGGCCTTGTGTTTACTTTTTTTTTTTTTAATTTTTTTTTT